GCAAAGATCAGTGGCACAATGGAAGACACAGTTGCTGGTCAATGGTGATAGACTGGGAGAGATTAATATCAAGAGAAGAATCTTTCAAGGAGACTCACTATCAGAACTACTGTTTATCATTGCATTGATTCCTCTGAATACTGAACTGAATAATACTGAACAAGTCAGGCCATGGCTATCAAACATCAAAAACATGTGCCAGGCTATCCCACCTCCTTTACATCAATGATTTGAAGCTGTATGGAAGAACACCACCTGAAATAGAATCGCTGCTCAATATGGTCCAAATATACACCCAAGATATTGCAATGGAGTTTGGACTGGACAGATGTGCCACCCTTAGCATCAACAGGGGGAAAATAGTGAAAACTGAAGAAATTGAGATGCCCAATGGAAATAACATCAAGAGTCTGGATGAAGAAGATCGCTACAAATACAGTACCTGGGCATCCTTCAGGCTGACAATATCAAGCACACTGAAGTCAAGAAGGAGTTAATAGTGAATACATCAGAAGAGTGACGATCTTAAAGTCCAAACTCAGTGGCAGAAATGCCATTAAGGCGATTAACACCTGGGCAATTCCAGTCATTAGATATACAGCTGGAATAGTAGACTGGACCCAAGCAGAACTAGAAGCCCTGGACAGGAAGTCCAGAAAAATAATGACAATGAATCATGCCCTTCATCCACGCAGAGATGTTGACAGACTCTACAGCATAGGTGGCATGGAATTTTGCAAGTATACCACACAGCTGAAGAAGAAAAAAGGGCATTAGAAGAATATCTAAAGGAGAATAAAGAAGATACACTGAAGCTAGTAAACCATGAAGGCTTACTGAATACTGAAGAGACCAAACTGGTCTACAAGAAAGACCAAATGAAGAATAAAAAAGAGACATGGCAAGGCAAAGTATTATAAGGCCACTACAGAAAAAAACTAGCAGGCAAAACAGATAACAAGAAGATCTGACAATGGCCAAGAGCAGGAAAGTTAAAGAAAGAGACAAAGGGGCTAATTCTGGCTGCACAAGGCCAAGCCTTAAGAACAAATGCATACAAAG